ATGGTGTTTTGTGGATTAAGGAGACTACTGAGCTTTAAAGTTTGATGCTCTGAGGGAACGAAGCCTGACTCTCCTGCTAAAGGACCTAATCACAGTTCTTTTGGTGACAGTGCATGGTGCAAGAAGTGATCTGTCAGGCCTTTTTTGACTGTTCAATACACTGTGCAAGTCAAAACTGACAGTTCAAACATAATCTGAAAGCTTGAAGTCAGTGACTGAAGATTTGGGAACATGGGTAAAGCCAAACACTGAAGGATTTTTCTACTAAATGGCCTGTTTATGTTTCAGTGTGTGGGTCATTTAGTAGGTGGCCTATTCATATTCTGTGTTTATGGGGTATTATCATTTACTGACATAACATGGTTAGAAAAATTTAAGTTGCCATAATATAGAGGTAAAGTCCCATTTGCACTGAAAGGTACTGAGAACAGGATTTCACTCTGGGAAGAGTCAGAAGCAATTTTTTTTCCAAAAGTCACCCTAGCCATTGCTAACATGTATTGATTGAGAGTGTCAAAGATAACCTGCCTCAATGGTTTGAAGAGTAATGAGCCAATGCAACAATCTTAACACAAAAAAGGGTCAAAATCAAAGAAATAAAACTTTCTACTAGCTATACTGAGCTATCAAGGCTACATATTTATTACATGAAGAATGATTGGCAGAGATTAGTAGGGTTAGTTCTGATATTGAAGTAACTAAATCATATTGATCCCCAAGAGCAAGGAATTAAACTTCTTTTAAAGTTCTGATGAAAAATGTTAGGTGACCTTTGAGGTTTTTGTTTCTTTTGGACCTGTTGCCATGGTATTTTGAAAAAGTTTATATGATTATTGAATTTATTCTGGGCACTAGATTGTCCTGAGACTGGCATTCTGATTTTAATTGTTGATAGCTTGCACTCACAGAGGATCATATAGCTGGACCCTGAGTTTTTCCACATGATAAGGTTCCAGAGCACATCTGTAGCCCAACTTTTCCCAGCAAAATTCATGATCTTAGTGAACTATTTTGTGCAATTTGTGGCAAAAAAAAAAAAAAAAAAAAAAAAAAAAAAGCTTGCGTTTTAAAAAAAAAAAAAAAAAAAAAAAGAATGCTTGCTGTTTAAGATACAGAAATGAATTATTTTGAGCCAATACAGTGTAACTTTTAGCAAGATGAAGCCTGGAATTTTCATAAAATATAGGGAATCTCTGTCAGTAATTAAGTTGGTCTAGTTAGTTGAAGATATACATCACATTAAAACAAAATTAAAAAAATAAAATGGAGGGAGAGGGGGTACATGGAGTGATGGAGTGAATTAGTGGAAATAAAAGAATCTTACTTTACTTTCAATGGTAGTTGAAAGATTAAAAAAAAAACTTTGGTAAATGTCATCATTAACTGACACAAGACTTAATACCACAGAATTTGTGGTTATCTTTGTTAATGCATAATTTGGTGGAGTTGATCCATACACAGTTGGATTTCTAAGGATTAAGATGAAGAAAATTAAACATAAGAATGATTTGCTGTTGTACAGTTGCCAAGTGTCTGCTAAAGTGTTCTAAAAGGGCTCAGATTCTGTTAGGATATGTTCATGCATCAGTTGAGAGACGTGAATTATTAATATTTTTGCTGTGAGGAGAAATTTTGCACAGATATTATGACTTCTGATTTCAAAAATTTGTTTTCCTCTCATCCAATAAAACATAAAAGCTCATGTGCTGTATCTTTGGGGCATGAAAGTAGTGAGATATCTTGTCCTGCAAAACATGAAGATGGCAGTGGTGAGAAAGGTGTGGAACCAAGAATTTGTGTCCTAAGAAATCTTAGGCTCTTATTCCCATTTTTTTTCCCTCCTCCACACAGATATCCTTGTTACTCATTGTATCTGCTGCTATTCAGGAATTTATTGCTGTGTTCCTTTCTCATTTGTAGTATTGGTTTAGTAACAATTTGTTTTAAAAGTGTGTAAAGTTTTATGTTTACATACCATTATGAAGACATAGTGCTATGAAAATGTTGACGTTTTTGTTCTTAAAAGACCTAAATTTTCCAGTACAGCTTTTGAAATAAAGAAGTGTAAAGCCTGAGCTTTTTATGACACGGGTTTTGAATTCTTGTGGTTGCACACTCATTTTTGTTGTTGATACTAAAATAAGAGCTATTATAGTATCCAGGAAACTCTGGTGCCCTCTGGTTTGAGTGCTGAAAAGGGAGAGTCATCTAAAATGTAGAGCTGTAGAAATGCTGCTGAAAATGATGAAAAAGCCTGGAGATAATCCGATAGTCATTAAGATTAGAGATGAAGATTAAGGGCCCAAATCGGCCTTTTGGAGTTATGAATGTAGAAATAGGAGACTTCATCTGATCTCTGTATGGCATCAGGTCAGCAGGTTTTATCCTGGATTTTCTCTACTGATTTTAACAAATTTGAATGAATTCAGTTTGGAAAGGAGTCCAGTTCTGCACATCTGCGAAGCATAATCATTTTTAGGCCATTTAGGTTCTTTTGCACCTACAGGTTAGCTGAATTAATGGATCCAGGGTGACAGTGACATGATTTTGGCTAATATATTCTAAAATGTATTTTAATCCTTCAGAGTATTTTTACAAACACGGTGATGAGCATTTAGAAATGAGGCAATTACTCATATGAGAATCCGTGCCCTAGTTTTCCTAGATTTATATTTGTATATATGAGAAAACAGATGCTACGCTTACTGCTTTTCTTATAGAAATGACTGTGTGTCAGAGATGTGTTTTACATATGATCTGACTTCTTTCCCATTGGTGTTTTTTCTGTGTTATTTCTATTCAGGCTTACAAGCCAGGAAGTTCTGATAGCAATAAACTGAAGAGAAGACATAGACTGTTCTAGAAATTCTAACATGCTAAAACGAAAGAAAGCTGTAAAAGACAAATAGAAGTTTCTTTAGTTAAATTTGAAGAAGCATATAAATTTGTCTATAATGACACTAGCACAAAAAGCATGCGAAACTACCTACTGAGGTGATAAATTGCATCAAAATAAATCGCGATATTACTGTGTTCATTGGAGGGAATAGTTCATTTTGGCGTGTTGGTTGTTTACACTTACAGACCTGTATAGCAATGTATGAGTCTCATCTTGCAGACTGTTTCCATGTAGTTTCTTTAGATAAAATACCTATTCTGTCTGATGAGTGTTCTTTTTCTGGTGTCCTCTGCACAACCTTCACTTCGTGTGCATCAGTTGCATCTGGCTTTGGGGTTGTGCCTCATAGCTGTCTAGCCAAGGCGATCCGTGTTGACCCATACCCTGTTCAGTTCGGTGCTTTTTAACAGGCAATTCACATCCTCTGGGGGCAAACATACCTGTGTGTCACCTGCCAATGCAGTCGATCCGTGTGGTTGAGAGAAAGCTGGTGCTGAGTCCATGTTGCTGAGAGAAAGCTGGTGCTGAGCCTCTGCATGCTGCTCAGAACCCAGGTGATTTGCCTGTGGAAAAAGTACACATGCAGACCTCCCCTGAAGTCCAACTCCGTTAACTGAAGCATCTTCTGAACCATGCATAGAGTAATTACCTCTCTCTTAGATAGCACATCCTAAAAAATAGAAAAATTGTTATTTTTTTCTTTTTGACAGCAGAGTTTCTTTTCCCTTAGTTTTTGATTGTGTCCACTGCAATGTTCGGGTTATTTCTGGTTTACAGCAAGTTACTCTTTTTTTCTGCATTTGATTCCAGAGTATAACACTTTCCCGCTCTGTGTCGTTACTGAATTCATTCTATTGCTGGCACACTACTTTTGCACTTTATCAGGATCGTTCTTAATTGCCGCGGTGTACTTTGAAGTTTGTCTTGGTTGTAATTCCTCCCAATTTTTGCCAGTGGCAGTTCTGGTAGGCGTATTCTGTATTCCATTGTCTAAATCATTAATGACAGTGTTAAATAAAACCAGACCTAGCAGACACACTCCCTTGCAGGAACCTCCAGTTTGACAGTGAAAAGTTGGTAGTTTCTTGTCTGAGTGCAGTATTCCAGCCAGCTGTGCATTATCAGACAATAATGTCACTAAATAGTACAATAATATTAAATATCAAAAGTTGCATTGTGCAGCTGTATCACGTACCTTTTTAAAAGTTAGGAAGCTTCACATCGGCCATCACTTATGAATCCTCTAAGCCTTTTACAGGGTGTTGTGGGGGAGTTGCATCGATTCCGCATTGTTTTCCTTGAAAAAGCACAATGAATGGTTGTCATGCTGTCTTGTATGTGGTTAATAACTTGGTATGTTTTGTGATGTTGAAAAAGGGTGAGTCATCTGCATTTCCTCATGTCCTTTCTACTTTGTGAAGGAAAAGGGTTTTATTTCCTTTCTGAAGCCAAAATCAGAGAAAAATCCAGTCATATGTGAGAGTACCTGACAGAAACTCCAGTTAATAATCTCTTTGTTGACAGACTTCAGATATCTGTAAATAAATTTAAAATAATTTAGTGTCGGTTAGCATGATCTATTTAATGTTCCTCATTGTGCTAAAAGTTAAAAATTACCTTCTGAGTTTGTGCCTCATGATAGTAAAATAGCATCGTATAGTTTTTCAATATATGGACATTTGTTAATGCAGCCAGACTGATTTCCGTTATTCTAGTTGTCTGCATCAGCAAGAATGATTCCTGATGTTGGCAGCGTGTGCTGGAATATTTATGTTAGAGCTGTGTTCTGCTTTCTGTATCCCGTCAGGGATGGGGCTGCATGTGGAGAAGTGCAGAGCCACAGAACTGTCTTTTTATATTCGTTCCCTGGTGATTGTGATGGGTGCTCCCAGTTACATACTGCATTGAGAGCCAAAAAGGGTGCTGTCAGAGACAGATGTTTCAAGTTACTTCTTTCTGCCTTTGGCAGTAACTTCAGCAACTCCTTATTTACTTGTGAAGGGGAAAAAAAAGCATGGTAGCCAAGACAAGAAGTTGTTATGCTGGCACATTAATTCTATAATTTGATTTTCCTTTTATTTTTTTTTTCTTTTCCCCCCAGTCATCCGAAGTCTGCTAATCAGAGGATAAACAAAAAAGTAAACAATGATGCATCATTAAGGATCCAAAATTTGTCTATTTTGGTGAAACAAATAAAAACATACTATCAGGTCAGTAATTGTTTCTTGCATTAAGTTTTGCCTGAATTGTTTCTAAGTATTCCTTTATCGTTATGCAAAAATAAGATTAATATTTTGAGATACTTGTATGGGTAGTTGTTTATAAATCTGGTCAACTTTTTTATCATGCTTAATTTACAGCTCTAGTTGTTGTTTGGAACCAATTGTATGCAAATAATCTGTGTATATAACATATCCTGCACGTTGGATTACTTGTGTAGTACATTAAACAGTATTGGTTGATATTTTCTGAGTTGAAACAAATCTCATGCCTTATTACACATGCATTTATTCTTATCAATGGAGTCTATGAGAAAAAATGTGATGAGATTTATTTGATTTATATCATTAATTTGATTTTTCAGTTGTACAAAAAGCAGTGAGGTGATAAAAATCAAATGGGACTTCATAGGAGATGCAGTGGTGATCTGATTTAAAGCTGTAAAATAGACATTTAATTTTTGTGTGTTTTGTGCAACAGGTGACACAGCCATTGAATTTTTTTAATGTGATAGGTAGGAGCTCGCATGGTGCCTTCTAGCAGCAGAGCCTGGATGGAGGCATATACACATGGACATGCTGTTGTAGGATGCTGCTGATAACACCAGCGTCCCTTAGAGTGTGTCTTTCAGCACTCTTCTACGCTGCCCTGCTCCTTTCTGCCAGGAAAGTCCAGATCTGGGAGAAAATCTTTGATCTGCCCCCTCTAAGTGCGCCATGGCAGAGCCTGGACCGATGTATGCTTTCACTCGTGTACGCACACAGTATATGTTTTCAAAAATTCTGAAGTACAGTGAAAATTCCCAGCTGTCATTTACTGCAGCGGTCAAGCACTGTACGTCTTCCTGGCTAACACTTCATGAGCTTGCACGATTCACATCGTTCTTTTCTTGGCAGCTACTACATAAGAGTGTAAGCGCTGCCTGCTAAGTCCCATATGCTTTTCCATCTCCTGATGGTAGTTGTTCTCGACCAGGCATTAGTGTTTCACAACTGGTGCAACAGAAGGCACGGGCGCTCATAGTATTGATCTTTATTTGAATACAAAGCATCCCCTGTGCTGCTTTGGCATCAGCTGGTCGGTATAAGCCATTTAGGTATCTTACCTTTGGATGATTCAGGATTGTGAATGTTACTCCAAGCCTTTGTGTTAGAAAGAGTTTATTATAGTTTTTTTAAAAATCAAAAAGTATTCTTATTGTATTAATGTTAAAATTTGTCCTGTGTAAGTGTGAGCTATATAGAACCGCACACACTCTTTTGCCTTTTCATTCCCCATTCTCTCAGGATTTAGTCTTGTGAGACGCCGCCCTCGTCAGATAGTACAAGTGAGGGCACTTGCAAATGTTGCAGGTCTGGCATTTTAGTAGGAGTAAAGGCATTTAGTAGCCAAACTGGAGCGCGTGGTCAAGTTCAAAATTGCCTTTCACATGTGTCTTTCACTCAGACGTGCTCGCCTCCATTCAGGGAGGTTAATGCATTGTGGTAGTTTATTGGGTTTGCAGATAAGAGTTAAAGGATGGACCGTACAGCCTTTGGTTTTTCTCAGAGAGAGTGCAGCCTGGCAGCTGGTGTTTCCCCACAGCCTGGGCATGGGTTAGCAAGGCAGCACAGCACAAATTGATTTCAAGAAGGGTCAGTTTGGTTCCTGCCACCAGTGAAATTACCCAAGGCAGAAAAGCTAGTTCTTGATGGATGCTTTGAAATCAATCTGAGGGGCCTCCTGTAGCCTGGGGTGCACCCTGGCAGTGGTGCAAGCCCTCACACTTGAGTCTTCAGAAAGCTCTCTGTGCAGGCATGGTGCTCGGGATGTGTTCTGAGCGGGATGCCGGAGATCTGACAGTAACAGAACATGGGAAATAATCACTGTGTTGAAGTATGAGGTTTATTCGTGTCTGGCATATTACAGTAAGAATAAGATACTAATAGATGTGAGGATTTTTAATTTTTAGCATTACATTATCCTAACTCTTAAAACTTCTTGGTGTGAACTTGTCTGTGCTAGTTTATTCCAGGTGTTTTTGTAACATCTGTGGAAAACATTCTCTGAATTTAGCAAATGATAGTGTCAGTGTTGTCTAAGTACTTCTTGAAAAACCTGCGCTGATAGAATATAACACTGAAAATTAAAATGTTATGTTAGATTATGTAAGTTTTTTAGTTCCTGTGTCATCTTTGTTCTTCTCTGTAATTGGAGCTGTGACTTCTTTTTCCAGTGAAGCTGCTTTACTTCCTTACAGCATCACCCAACTCCTGATAGATCCCAAACCATTCTCGAGTCTGTACATTTCCTGGCAGCATAAAATGGTGGAATTGTTCTCAGCAAGCGATTCAGGAGAACTGATGCCCTTATAAGTTTTGGTGGGCTTGGGGGGTTTAATACAGTGACCTTCCATGATTCCCATGGGTGCTCATTTGTCAGATGAATTGTGAGTCTTTGATAAAATAAGTGCTAATGAACTCTTAAAAGTTTGTACAAGCAAGACAGAATTTTGTAAATAGGCTTAATTTATTTTTGGAGGTTAAACAACAGTTAAAAGAAATCTGTGAATTTCGGGACGCACAGGTTCAAAATTCAGGTTTTTAATAGAAGCAGTCGTTTCAAAAGCAAACACAAATTGAGAGCAGTTGCACCGAGCATACTGATGAAGGTACAGTGTAACAGAAAAGGTGACAGACATCTCTGAAATAAGATAAAGGTGCTGTAAGGAAAGAGGTGATAATGTCATTATTCCATAGGGAACACATTTCTTGGCACCTCTGCTTGTATTCTGCTTCACAGTAAGAAAAGCTTTACAGTAGCATCATGGAATTACTTGAGCTATTGCAGAACAACCCCACAAAAGCAAACAATGAAAAAGCCACCAAGCCTCCACTTTTTAAATTATGTGTAGTAGCTATAAATACTTTTTACATTTTATCTGTTCTTTATTGATTTAAAACTTCCTGTGGTACACGTCACATCTTTTATTTTAAATGCAAATTCTCCTTACCAGGCTTTCTGGTAGGTCAAAGCTATTTTGTCCTTGGTTATAATTTGTCTTAAGCATGTGCAATGAGAATACGTACTTTTCAGCCTAGTATTAATCAGTTCAGCTATAATTTTTTATGTTCTATATTAACCACTGAGAACTTCCAAGAATAGCTATAGCTAATAATTTCTACAGGTGTTCTGCAAGAAATACTCTTGTTTTTCAAATTTGACATAAAATGAGGTGGCTCTTTTTATGGCTTTAGTTCAGAATATGATGCATAATATGTGCCTTTTGAATGTAAAGTGGTGATGGTTCTGGAATAAGTTGCTTTTTGAGTATGTTTTATGTATTAATGGATCTGTCACTGTGGAAAAACAAAGAAGCGTGACTCTAGAGATGCTGATAGGATGGCATCTGCTGTGAATAAACATCTGGGAACAGGAGGAAGACTACTCTGCTTCAGAAGAATTAGGCTCTGTCTAGACTGGGGATTTGACCTGATTACAGCCATTACTGGCTGACAGAAACTATCCATTGATACAATCTATAGCTGGATAGGCAAAGCTGCTGCTTGAGTGTGGGACTTAGCAAACTGAAACTCCACCTGATCGTGCAAATAGGGTTTTGTGCCTTTATAGCCAGGATTGTCACAGCATAACTGCAGCAAAAAGCCCTGTAATATTCAAATCCATGTTTTGGCCAGGCCGCTGAGACCGTGGACATGAAATAGAGGAAATTTCCAGCATAAATGCAACTTAGAGCGAATCAAAAAAAGCATCTCTCAGTAATCTGGTCAGAGACACTTGAACACTAATAATTTGAAGGAGTTTTGCTGTGTTCTGAGACACAGGATCTAGTTGGCTTAAGATCCGTAAGCCAACTTACTGGCACGAGAGGATTTTTACTGTGCTGAGATGGTCTTGCAAACCCATAAAACAAGGCTTTTGTAGAAGTAATTCATACTTGTGTTTTTGTGTTTTTTAATGATGTGTTAATTCATGTACTAAGTCCTGGAAAGTTCTAAACTAGTTATGTAACACTCTTTAGCAGTAGCTAGTATTTGGTGTTTGCTTTCATTCAGTATGCATACGTATGATTTAAATAATATTTTAATTCACTTTTGTAGGAGAATTTGCAGCAGTTGATCGTGATGTCTTTGCCAAATGTATTGATAATTGGCAAAAATCCTTTTTCTGGTAAGTTTATTTTTAACCAAGATGAAAATTTATATTTGTGTATTAGTTTGTATTATTTAATCTGAAATATAATTCATATAGGATTTGGCCTTTCAGCAGAAGATTGTGTAAATGCTTCTACGAACTAAGTGGTTTAATAATGATGAGTAACATTTTCTTTGTTCACACCAAAGGTCCACAAAAAAATGTGTTCTGTCCAAAGCTCAGCACGGGCTATCGTTAGGAGTTCTACTGAAATGAAGTACATTTCCCAGCAACCAGCAAGCCCCTCATATGACAAAGTATGAGTTTCATGTAATCCCAGCTGTGACGCTTTTAACTTTCTTTACCTAAGCCACCCCTGAGAAAATTGACGGTTCAGTGCATCTCACTTGATCCAACTCCTAATCCTTATTTTTCCTCCCCCAAAATTCTCCTGCTTCTCTTGCACCGTTACCTGAAAAATATTGCAGTTACCTTCTTGCTTTCTCCGCTGAACTGACACTGTGTTCTCCATGCTCCCACCTTCTCTGCTTCCAGCTCTGAGAGTTGCAATTTTCAGACCGAGAAAATTGGCCTGTGTGGACTCAGCTGACTATCCCCAGCCACCTGGGAATCTCTGCACCATGCTCTCAATTCCAGAAGCACGGAGCAGACACACCTGGCCTGCATGGAGCCACTATGGATTGGGCAGAATTTATTTACTTGGGTCTAATGTGTCCCAGGTGTTCTACTTCTGATGTTCTAGCACCTCAGCAGAGAGGTTAGGAACTACTCTAACAGGCTGTGTAGCTTCCCCTGGCTTTTTGTATTCATTTGGGATGCCTTATTACGCTGTGCTTCTGTGTATGTGAGACAAAATTTTTCTCATGAGCAAGAAGAACCATCCGTGTTACCTCGCTTTTCAATTGCAGGGTTCATAATGTTGATATTTTCTGTATCTCATCTGCATATATCCCATTTTTTGTAGGTATCTTGATTTAATTCTTTTGATTTTTACTTTCTGCTTTTGAATATTGCTGCTTTTGCTTCTGAAGTCACAGCCTTTTGAGTTTTTGTATGTGTAGATGTGCTGTAATCCGTCATATGCACCCAGAAGTGTGAACGTGGTCTCTTCCTAAAGAACAGAATGCATTGTGCTTTTATATTTTGATTCCAGACTTCTTAAGGTTTTCGAAAGACTCCATGGATTTGCCTAGGGACCAGATCTAGTCGAAAAACAGATTAAAAAAAAAAAACAGGTCATGGTATTGTTTTTGTAGTGACGTTTTTTCTTCTCTTTAAGATACTGAGGCTGAAATATGTCTTAACCATATTGTGTAGCATAAGATGAAATGTTACTAAAAATGCACTAGGAAAATCCACGAAGATAAATTAGTATTCAGTTGCATGTATAAAAAAACTTATGGTTTAATCATTAATAAGAAAACTTCTTCCCATTTGGGACCTCAGCTACGTATGCAGTGTTTGTGGTTTGGCAGCTAGAACCTGTTCTGATGCATGCATTGCTCTCCTGTGGGGACATTGCTGGATTTGTGAGAAAATACAGACTTAGCTGTAGCATAGCCCACGTGTTTTAAATATGTATTAGGTATGGACAATATTCTTGGAAGGCATTTCAGATTCCTGCTTGAGTTCACCTTGGAGTGTGATCTGAATCAGAAGACAGACCTGTTCTTTTGGGTTCCATCCAGAACCTGTCCCCTTTGAAGGTTAAGACTACTCCTGCTGTGTCAACTTGAAGAGGACCTCAGCCCTGAAGAGTTTTGTTTTGTTTTTTTTCCTTTGGTGGGCAAGTGTAGTGAAGTCAAACCTCAGTGACCTTTTGAGAAACTTGGTGTGTAAAAAAGTCTGACTGCATCAAGGTGAGCCCCCATAGTAAAAGGTGATTCTTTGATAACGATTTGACTTTGGTCCACTCCTATTTAGGCTGTAGCTGTGATTTTTCCCAGGAACATCTGCTAGTTTCTCCCTCTTTGCACTTAAGGAATGGTTAGTAGAGAAATACTAGATGACAAATTGCACAAGGCAAGAGCAGGTAAGATTTCAGGAAGAGAAACATGTTTGGATCAGAGGCAGTTGACTAATCAAGGAAAATGCAGATAGAGTGATGGTAAAAAGAGGTTATCAGAGACTTTATCAAGAAACATTTTTCTTGAGCTAATTGGCAGGAAGCCAGCTTGAGGAGAAGACTGGAGGAGAAGAGCTACAGGCTGTGATTTGTGAATGTTAAGTTAAATTACAGAGGAAAAGGAAAAAGGAGATAATGATGAGGCAAATGTTCTTTAATGTGGAAAGAGGAAAGATTAAAACCAGTTCCTATTTCTGAGAGTGCAAGCCAGGAGAGGATGGAAGACTACAGAGGATATGAAAGTCTGGGGTAAGAGTAAGTGCAGGGAAAATCAAAGGGTAGAATATGTTAGGGACAAAGTTCAAGAAGAAAGTTGGAGGATGTAAAAGAGAATGATTGATTTCTGTATTTATGATGGAGGAAAAGGAAGAAAAACATCCAAGATGGTTGGTAGCAGTAGAAGCTGAAGTTGTTCAGTACTTTGCCATGTTCCTTCCAGGAATGTGGGGAAGAGACATGGAAACAATGTTCAGGTAGACTTTTAAAAGCCAGTCAAGAGATGCTGAAGCAGTGTACAAATGAGTGTCCAAAGAGGCGTTCAGAGATTGCTTAAAAAAAATTAATAAGTAGTGCGATGAATTTATTGGGATAAATGTAGGATGTGAGATGTTGGGAGGGATCCCTTCTGTTACAATATTCTAGTTAATCTTTATTATTTTATGACAGGCAGCCAGGTGGAATTCCCCTTCTTAGCTGAAGTAACATGCTTCTGATGAAGTATGTTCTTTGATGTTTTCTGTGTAAAGGACTTCACAATTGGAGTCTTTGGGATACAAGAAGTCTGCATGACTGCAATCTGCCATCTGAGTTCACGTTCTTTGTAATCCGGCTACTTGACAAAACTTTTGAAAAATGTTAATGTTACGTCTTCATAGGGATTATCTCCCTCTAAAAGAAGCAGGTTGAATCAATGTGGAGAAGAGGCTCTCTAATTAATGTTATAATGCACAGAGAACTCCTGAAGCCATGAGGAAGGTGGAGAAACGTAGCACCTGGCTTTTATACCTGCTTTATGGCAGCAGGCTTGACTCTTCATTGAAAGATAGTCAAAATCAGTACGAGTTCTGTATCCTTTTAGGTTTTTTTCTGGATTTGTTTTTAATTTCCTCCTTTGCTCAAGAGTGCTTCATCTGTGTAACTTATTGAGAAAAGTTTTACATTTACTGCACTTACAGTATACTGTAGTGGCTCAAATCAAAGGACTATTTCAAGTGCTTGTACATGAATGGGTACATCTTTCTTATGGGGGGGTTCATCCAAAATATACTTAGCTACCCAATGTAGAAGATCGCAAACTGCCATTCTGGAAAGAAGGTTCTTCTTGAGTTTTCTTCTAGATGCTTGTAATTGTCTTGTGATCCTGGGGGATCATCTGTGATTACCAATTGAGCTCTTTAAAGTAAAACGATTTCCCTAACTTCTCTGAGGGCTGAGAATGACTGTGCCTGCTTCAGTACTTGCTAGGCATTCGCTGTTTGCTATTTGGGTGGAGAGTGAATCTGTTGGTATCGGTAGTAGGTAGACCAGCTGTGTCACAGAGTAGAAATTAAAGGTCACATTTCTAGCCAGCCCCAGCATTATGGTGTTTGACAGCATAGCTTTTGGCTGGTTAGCTAACAATGAAATGAACTATTGGCTGAAATGCAGAGTATGTTGTAGAGAAGATGCTATTAGGATAGGATCCTAATATCCTTTTATTCCTAGATAACCGTATGGATAGTGTTTTGTGTTTCAGTAAAGCAAATGATGTATGAGCATAGAGAGTTTGATTCCAGCTAGTCTGAGCTCTTTTGCCCTCCTTAAAGTGCTTACTCTATGGTGTTTATTTTCTAGATACAACATATATTTAGTAGCAGGATGAGTACATTTTGAGTGTAAAAAAAAGTGAGATATATCTTGGTTCATCTGGAGACAGAGTTCTTTAAGCTTCTTTAGGAGATTAAGATGCTTACAGGCAGATTGGAAATATATTTAGATTTTTATATGTGTAGATTAATAATATAGCTTTAGAATTTAAAATAATTTAAATGAACTTGTCACTTAACTCTTACAACCTGGAGGTGGCAAATATTTAAGCAGTTGTGTAAATACCTTGAGATACCTGAGATTACAGTTGAAAACTCGGTTGTGGATCTCCAAAGCACTTTGGAAAGTATCACTCAAGTTTTGCTTTATGAAGGGCTGAAGTGGTGTTTTTTGCATTTGAAACTATGCTGGATGTTAAGCTACTTCTTAATGCTGAAAGTGGTAAAAAGGACTAAACTGAAAACTGGAAAGATGGGGTTTTCTTCAACTTTTTGCTTTCTGAACTAGATTAACAAAAGTTGTATGAAAATAATGAGAAAACCTGATGTTTTCTGAGGATTAGGGGAAGGAACTCAAACTACCACTTCACACCTTTTTTTTTTGTTTTTTTTCTTCTTGTTTTCTTTTTAGAGCCAGGTACTGAAGAAATCAAAAAACTCCTCCTGCTTTTACTTGGCTGTGCGGTTCAGGTAAGTTTATGTTTACATCTGTATGGAATGGTTTAAGTGATACTGATCTCTTTTTCTTCGTATTTTAATACCTGACTTTGTATATAACTTTGACCTTCCTTCCTCTAGCAGTGCTATTGTGTTCCTTGAAAATCTGGCTATTCTTACAGTTAAAATGTCTACAACTGTACACCTCTTGTGTTTTACTGTATGAATATGGCAAACTGTGTAGGTAGGATGAATTGATTTATTAATTATAATATTGTTAACTCACCTGATGATGTAAAGAAAGCAAACGGTAAAAATATGTGTATTGTACTGAAACAGTTTCATGTATTTAATAAATGTTTTTTATGAACTGCTGTTCTTAAGAACATTTGTACTATTCAGGTAATTAAACTGAAAAAAGATCTTTAATGTTCTTTACTTAAATAAGCAACTTGAATACTAGAGGTGGATGCTGAAAAAATGTGTGGAACTCACTATCATAAAATTTGAATAAGTAGCTATTTAAAGAAAAAAGTTATTAGTATTGAAAGTTACCATTATCATAATATGGTATAAACCAAGTGTGTATAAAATTGTTGGATAATAATATAATTGTTGAAATTCAGTTTTCATTGTTAGCTTAGAAATATAAAGGATGAATGAAAATACTGGTGACTTTATATATATGTGTATGTGTATGTATATAAAATAGATATCTTTCTTTTTAGTGTCAGAGAAAAGAAGAATTTATTGAAAGAATCCAAAGTCTGGATTTTGACACAAGAGCAGCTGTTGCAGCCCATATTCAAGAGGTATATTGTTATTTTTATGCTTTTAAGGTTTTTTTGGAAGTGGAATACTGTAAGAAGATAAATTGCTTTTGTCCAAAGCAGAGCAAATCAAATGTGTGTTTTGTGTATCTATATTTTTAGTAAGCAAAAAGTACTTTTGTTTTTAACTTGATTCACAAAAAGATGTCAAGACGAAGCTCTTTTGGATTGCATTGTTAAAGCAGTACCAGGGAGCACAGATGTTGCTCCAAGAATTTCTGAGACTTATAGTAAATTTTATTTAGTGAAATTTTCATATGCAAATTTATTTATAAAATATAATTCATATCCCATGTGTGTGATATATAATATATATTGTGTGATGCTCACCTTCTGCTTTTTGTTTTGCCAGAAGTACAGGGTACTACTTTCAGGTAGATAAGAATCTATTCCATTAGGTACAATTTAATCTATTTTAAATGCTTTTTCACACCTAGAGAATTTAACCCATAGAGTTTCAGCTTCATTTTCTTTATGCTTCTTTTCTACTCTTAAAATTTAAAGAGGATGTTTTTTTCCCTTCCATTTCATTCCATGTAGGTAACGCATAACCAGGAAAACGTGTTTGATCTGCAGTGGGTGGACGTCATTGTATTGACACAAGAGTATGTTGAACCTCTCTTGAAAAACATGGCATTACATTTAAAAAGACTTATAGATGAAAGAGATGAGCACTCAGAGGTATGGAAGTGTTTTGTTTGTTAAGAGAACTATAAGCAAGAGCTATTTGAAAATTACATCTCTTAACCATTTTTGACTAGTAGTTTAATGCGCGTTCTGTTAGCATGCTTAAACAAGGACTCCTTATTGCCAGAAAGTTGTTTCAGGTAGTCACAGTCTGTATACTAGTTGTTGAATACTGTGACAATCTAGAGAATATAACCAGCATCTGAAGCAGCTTTAAATACTGTTCTTCTCTACTTGAAAACAGAAAATTCAAAGCTATGTCAGCTGAAGTTTCCAGAATTCAGTAACCGATCGGTTTGCAAGCCAGTCACTGAAAGGGGCCTGTTACATTACTATATCCTACTCCACAGCTTTGAGCAAACTAGAGCAGAATTCATACTAGGAGAAAAGGTTTTGCGAGCTTATCACAGGACACCATCGTTGTATGGTGTGCGAATCAAGCAACTCAAATGTGTGTGATAAAAATTATACTTTAAGAATCATCTTGGAGGTCCAAGATTTGCTCCTCAGTAGAGAGTGGCTATGTTAATGTTGCAGTTATTCCAAACATTTCCTCAACAGCCAGCAACTGTCTTACCAGTTCACAACATTGGTAAGAGTAAAACAGAAACTTAACTATGGGGGAAGAGGATGTGTGGTAATGTTTTTTTTGCAACAGAAGGGAAAAGTAACTTTAAAATACAAGAGATCTTCATCTTAGGATAACACATTTATTTGTAAGATGAAATAGGAGTATACCTGTAGATCTGAGTTGGCAAGGATACTGCTGCTCACTGAAGAAAAAATAGGTTTGGAGATTTATGTTTATCCTCATGTTCAAGGAATTTGTGCCTGCTCATTAACCAATCCAATCTGACCACTGACAATCTGTGGACTTAAAAGTCTAAATTTAAGTAGTTTAAGAGTAGCCAAATGGTACTACTAAATAGCTGTGACTGTCTATTTGCTTTAGGTATAGAGGTGTATGTAGGGCTTCTAACTTCTTTTATGGCAAAACTTCTCCATTATTCTTGTTTTATTTCAGTCTTTGATTTATTAAAGCTTATTTTTTCTTTCCTTTTTTTCTTTCCTTTTTTAAAAATTTCTTAGACTATCATAGAGCTCTCCGAAGAGCGGGACTGTCTCCGTTTTCTACCTCACGCATCAGCGGCACAATCACCTTGTGGATCTCCTGGCATGAAGCGCACTGAAAGCAGACAGCACCTGTCGGTAGAGCTAGCAGATGCCAAAGCGAAGATAAGGCGGCTTAGGCAAGAGCTGTGAGTACATGTGGATTGCAGAAGCTGCTGAGAGTCTAGGGGTTTAAAATGTTTTGAAAACGTGCTTGATTTTGCACAGTAGTGGTACTCTGTAGGTAAATTCTTCATTCTTCCAGATGTTAAATTACAGTTTTAAGTGGGTTTGTTGATTTTTTTTAATTATTGCACACTGGAAGGTAATTTTTTATAATGTAAGCATGTTTGTGGACCAGTGTGACAAATACAGCTTTTCATCTCTGTTTGTCTTTAAATTTTGTTGTGAGTTATATTGATGTTTTAACCATAAACATACTGAAATCAGTGAGGTAGCACTGTGGTAATTTTGTATCTTTGTACTCTGAACTTTCTGAAAAATTGACTACGAACAGTCTCTTGAGCATGTTACAGTACAGTAATGGGCTCTTTGCTCTACATAAATTGTTTTTTTTTTTAGAAAAGAAAATGCAGCTAATCTAATGCAGTGTTGCCTTTTTCTTTGATATATAGTGCCCATATTGTTGTTTCAGAGGCAAGTTCTTTGTGCCTCCTCAATTGTTTGTTATTAATGTCTGACTATAGTTTTAATTTATCTGCATTCATCTGTGTTTCTAAGAGCATAGCTTTGCCATTGAGGCAATTAATGGGGACATGCCCTCAAGAACAATTACTGGGGCAGGCAGGTAGGGACCAGAGGCAAGAGCTGTGTCCTGACAATCCAATTCAAGGATTACTGGCAAAAACATCTTTTTAAAAAGGAGATAGTCCTGTAGTGATCCTGTAGTGATCGGCAGCATGACAAACTTACCTTGCTGGAAACAGAGTAAGAAGCAATCAGGGATGGTTCGTTCATGGTTAGTGAAATGTTTAGGTTTGTTGCAGATACGAAAGGAATTATCATTAGAATGATCTCCTGTCTCCCATCTCTTTGTTTCTTTCTGTGTAGAAGATTCCTTGTCTGCACAACAGTTGTTTGTTCATACCCTTCAGTACTGTTCCACTTCTATCTGCCATGCTGCTCTGTGGAGAAAAATGAAAGAAAATTCTGCAAACCAAACTCCACTAAATCTCTTGACCCACTGCAAACCTGGATGCAGTGAAACAGACTGAGTTTACTGACAGGAGGTGGTTAGTTATGTCTAAGGAGTAATGTGGTTTGTAAAACGAGTAGGTTTCATAGTTTGGGTCAGTTACAGGTTCCACCTTGCTATGTTCATCTAGTTAAGAGAGTGGTCTCTTCTCCCGCTGGTGCAGAACTCTTAGTTAAGGGGCAGATTTCCCTCCTTCAGCTCATCCAAGTACTATGACAAATCAGTCCCCCTTGTAATAAAGATGTTTGTTTCTTTATCTTTCATATTTGAATGAAAACTTTTTTTTAATCCCTTGGTTTTTTATGAAGAAAACTGATCCAGTACATATCAGTGGGTACTTAATCTGTCTCAATACTCTAGGAGCAAATCTGAGCAATAGAGAAGAACTATTTAAAGAGAAAAACAATTATAGGCCAGTGGAGAATCAGTTTCTCCCTATACCACCAATGTGTAATGTTATAAAAGAGCGAAGTATGTGCAGTATGAACTTAAAGTACAGATGTTAAATCTGAAGAGACTCAGTATCTGTAACAATTTACCTACAGTTCAGAAACAACATAAATAAAGATTTTTTTATTTTTATTTTTTATCCAGCATATCTCATGGAGAAAAGAGACAGGTAAAATTAAATTAAAGGTTGACGGTAGCATAAGTCAATTACCAGCTTGCTGGTCTGCTCTTATCAGAGTTGGTTGATCAGATCATCTCTAGCTGGCTGGATTAGGTATCTGGTTGATTTACTCAGAGAATCCCCTTCCCCCACTACATCTTGCTCTTCAGGAAGAATAGAGGACAAAAAGATATGGCTCTTTTTTCTGATGTCTGTATTATTATATGTCTGCTGAAATGAGCCCGCCCAGGATATTCTATAAACAGCTGCACCAAGAAAATTAGTGAAAAAATTGCTGTTATTAGTTTGATTGACAGTTAATAGATAGCCTAAACAGTGAACACTGGTATGTTCTGTGTAATTTAGTACAATCCTCTCTAGTCTGTAGCTGAAGCATGCAATTAGGGCACCAGTGATGGCTTGGAACATTTCACATTTTGCACTCTATTTGAATTCAATTTGTAAATAAATTTCCTTTACATGTAGCAGTATATTTAAAATACTAGGCTTGGATAAATTAGCTTCTGTCTGTAGCATGTGGTATTAAATGCTGCATGTACTCGATAAATTTAACGGTAGATTCATTCCGGAGTTGAAAATATTCAGCTTGAAATTTATTTATTATCTGGGTTTCGCAGTGAACCTCTGTACCTGGTTTTACATGCACTGAATATAATTTCATACTGAAAGGTCTGTGTTTTTTTCAGCTGGATGCAAAACAGTGACTTGAGGGTTGTGATACAGAAACTCTAGAACTGAAAACTCCACACCTGATTTTCTTTATTAAGTCCTATGTGTTTCTGTGTAGAACAATAACATAGGGAGAAGTTACAGCCATCTGAGATAACGCAGGACTTCTGTGTGGTTTCTGAACCCCTATGTAGCTTGGATACCTGCAGTGGTCAGTGATGTTGCAGTGAGCTGCACAGAAATGTGTGCTTGTAGGCTGCCAGTGACCTTTTTGAAACAACGTAAGGTTGCAGTAAGATCATTCACTGTGAGATTGGCTCATTTTTAAAAACAATTGTTTAGTTTTGTTGAAAAGAAATATGATTTTGTTAGTATGATTACTTTGGGATTGCATTCTTTTCAGTCCACTAAATTCTCTTATTTTCCTTTTTCTACTTCTGTTTTGTTTCATATGTGTCTTCCAAAATCGTAATACAGTAACATGTTTGAGGATGCAGTCTACCTTTGAGGGGTCTACAGTATTGGCTATGGCACATGAATACTGTTTTCTCCGAGGTGCAGTTGAATTTTGAACATTAAGTATTTTGTGTCTTTGAGAGGACTAAATATTTCCCTTGCACTTACTCATTGTTTAACCAACTCATTTTTTAACACAATCATTTTTTTGAGCACTGGGAAATAAGTGTTAGCTGGAAGTCAAGAATGAATCCTGTAAGAACTGTAGTGTTTTATGTCAAATTGCTTTAATTTCAAATTTTGAATAGACTAAAGCAGACACCAGGATATTGTTTCCATAAAATGAAAATTCACTATACATTTCATAAATTTATTGAGGTCATTATGAGTAAGGGCACTGGAAAACCTTAATTCTTCTCTGTAAGAAAAAATACGAAAGTATAAAAGTGCTTTTAAAATTAGCCTTACCTGATCTCTGGCAGGGTGCATCAGTGGCCATTGTTTGGTTCTCCTGGAAAATGCTTGGACCTTTTGAATGTGTATTTTGAAATTATCGTAGGTTTACTTTTGGTTGTGAATCTCCTGGTACACGTTCATGTGTAGTGTTGGGGTTTTTACCAAAAAAATCCTTTATCACAAAAAAATCCCTTATTACAGCCTAATGTTTTCTGCCTCACTTAAGTAGGAAATCTAGTCAACAACAGTTTATAAAAATTTATAAAAATCTGACCAAATTTTAAAGTTTAGGTGTAGACAAAAAAGTAAATAATATCTAAAACGGAATGGCGTACCTAAATGTTATGCTCTGGTGTCCATGAAATTCTGGATTAAAAGAGGGAAATCTCATGAATCTCCCTATTTTGTTCTCAAACGAAAAAAGAGTTGCCAGGTTTTGCAGTTATATTTAATGGTCTGGTGTTCTCTCTTTTAAGGGAGGAAAAAACTGAGCAATTGCTTGACTGTAAACAAGAACTTGAACAGATGGAAGCTGAACTAAAGAGACTTCAGCAAGAGGTACTGATTTTGTAAATCTGTTGTTTAAAAGTGGTAAAAAAAAGTTGTCACCACCAGACCAATTCCCCTCCCCTTTTTTCTTCCTTTTCATTTTTTTGTATTAGAAAGTATCTTTTCATGCATTCTTTTATCTTTGAACTCTGAACATGATCTTGTGTAATTTAATCCTTTATTTTGTGTAGTATGGTGGTAAAATATTCTGAGTTAGGTCAATATTTATCTAACTTTTTTTTCCACGTTCCAGCAATTTACCACCAACATATCCTATGAGTGTACATCTGCTGAGTATTTCTCAAAAAAAAAAGGCACTGAAATTTGGTCTAGTTTTCTTTATGCTTTGAGTCCATGTGTTAATAATGAGGGAGAACATCTGGTTTGCTTATTATTAGGAGAGAGTGTATAAAATTATCAGGGTTAATTTGAGAATAGTGCATGTAAAAGAAATGAGCTGTTCTGAATTTTCCAGATGTGTACATCCCTCGTCTTGAAAAAGGCCAGTGCAGTTTTCTTGGAAATACGTCTTTTGGTCTGAGCCTCTAAACCACACTTCTTTACCTTTCTCAGAATTAACTTATGTCCCTCTGCAACACCCCGATTTAAATAACGAAGTAGTTGTGTTGTCCTTCAGGTTGTACTATACAGTATTCTTGCCTTAATTTCTCTATTTTCATGTTTTCTAGAATATGAATTTACTCTCAGATGCCCGTTCTGCCAGAGTGTATAGGGATGAATTTCGGGAGAAGGCAATTCGAGTCGACAAGCTTGAAAGTGAAGTCAGCCGGTATAAAGAGAGGCTGCATGATATTGAATTCTACAAAGCGAGAGTGGAGGTATATTAATGGAAAAAAAAAAACCAAACATCTTTTTTTGTTTGCTGTGGCTTTTTCAGAGTTACTTTGATGACTTTAACATTGGGACATGAAAACAGTGTTATAGGTTCTTGCTCTGGGATATAGGATGGTCAGTCTTCTGTGATAAATTACAGTTTTTAGTAAGAGTCCCTGTGTCTAATGGAATGCGGTTTCATTTGAAGTCAGCAGTATTCACCATATCTCTGAGCTATCAAGATCAGTAGGAGCCTCTGTTTAGGATGTATACTATGTATTGAGAAACCCAAGGATGAATTAATTACAAATATGCTATAAATTCAGTGATTTTTTTCTCCTCTTGTGGGTCTCCTAAGAGAAGGTCAAGTGTCAGCAAAATAGCGACTGTACACCTAAATAAGTATAGGATGATGGCATTCCATCGGTAAAATATACCAAAAAAATGCACTGACATGGGAGTTCTTAGCTTTTTAATGGAAAATGAGGTGGATAGTTTTTCCAAGCGAACTGCAGTGTAAAAAAGTTAACAGGAGACTGTGGTGCAAATTAAAACCTTGTTAAAAGCGCTTTAGTGTTTCTGAAATGTAAAAAAAGTCATAGTTCTGAAGACTTTTTTTTTTAGATGACTTGTTCTTAGCCTTACTCATGGAAGTTAATTTCATCGTCTTACTGTATAATGTGATGAATTTGAAAGACACTGAGTAGATACTCTGAATAGAGACTTTAACAGCTGTCACTGCAACACCCATTCTTGAGGAGGCTCCGAAACAAAAGCTGGTAACTGTATTCCAACTCTGAATCTTCTGTCTCTGACATATTTTAAACAAGATACTGCAGTTCAGCTTGAACTCAGTGAATTAGAGGTCCGGTGCAGTGACTTACATTCTCGTATTTCCTTGGAGTTGGTGGCTGTTACTTATATATTATGTCACAGGTTAGCACATGCGAGTCTGTTGTAAAACGAGGTGTGGTGAGCATTGTCAGCAACCTGCCTGCATGTGAGCAAACCTTTGTGTGCGAGCTGTTTGAAAATCGTGTACATGATGACTTTATAAACTGTCTGTATCTACTGTTGTTGGAAGTGGGACTGAAAGCATATGGTTAAAAAAAATCAGTGAAGGAAAACAGATCAGTGTACAGGATTTGAAAACTGCGGAAATCTTGTTTTCATAAAACATTTACTAAAAATACCTAAAAGTCATTTTCATGTTTCCTAGCTTGTAAACTGATTTTCCAAGGGTGCTTGAGTAGAGACAGATGTTAATTAATTGGTTTGGCTTCATAATAATAATAATTATAAGTTAACTTAATATTTCTGTGGGGAGGAGTATGAAAGATAAATATTTATACATTACATTCACGGATCTCTTTTAGGTTTTGCAGCTGACTGCATGCTGAAGTTTGAAAAGTTTTGTCTTTATATAATTAGTAAAATAGCCAATTATATGTTTTTATGCATTTTAAAGGCATCTGAAGAAAATAATAAAAATCCTCCATGTACATAAATTAAAGCTGTTTAGGACCTGTCAGTATGGCTGGTTGTATTTTAAGAATGCAGTTGCATTTTCAGCATCAAGTGCTGACTTTGCGCTCAGGTTTGCGCAGTGGTCTGTAAACTTAATTATGGCTTGACGAAAATTATTCTCTTAAGTTTTATTCTTCGTTGCCTGGAATGCAAAGATGAGGGAGGTCAATCTGATACTGAGTTAAATTATGGATTGAAAGGAGCATTTTCATCTGTCTCCAGTCTTTGACAGCACCCAAGAGCAGGTGAGAGGAGAGTAAAAGAGCAAGGCAAGCACTTGGTGATACTTCCTTGTTGTGCTCTCCCAGCCTCCAGCAATCTTTGCTGGGGAAAGTCATACCCAGAGATGGTACTTGTGAGCTTTTTGGCCTTCTCTTGAATGACTTAAGTGACTTCTCAACACATGTAAGCTTCTTCATCTACACAATTATGTAGCAATAAGCTCCACGATGCAGTTACATGGTGTGTGATGTACTTTTTGTTTGTTTGAGCCTGACACCTCTATTTATATGATGTCAGCCTTCTGCTTGGGTGTAGTCCATATACATGCAATACATATTTCCTGATCACATCTCAGGTCACAGAGATATTTATGCTTTCATTGTAATTATGAAGACCTCATTTATTCTTAATGGTTTCTCTTAAGTTATGTAAAATTTTCTTTTCATAAAAATTTTCAGGTTAATAGTTGTGTGAGTTTGCTGTGCATTTGCTTTTTTATAAAGTCTGCTGCAGCTTCCAAACGTATGTTTTGGCATTAGAGCAATATTTCTAAAACTAGTCATAATGTCTGTCTCAGTTTCTATGAATAAGGAAATACTTTTGTTGTAAATGGGATTTTTTTGTTGCTTTTTTTTTTGCAGGAGTTAAAGGAAGACAATCAAGTGTTGTTAGAAACAAAGACAATGTTGGAAGATCAACTAGAGGGGACCCGAGCCCGTTCCGATAAATTACATGAGTTAGAAAAAGAGAATCTACAATTAAAAGCTAAATTGCATGATATGGAGATGGTAGGTATAAATGGAGGATGATGAAGACAACTGATAGGCACTGAATTTAATTGCCATTTTTAATAAAAGAACTTCCAGTCAAAACAGTGAGTGAAAGGAGGAAAGTATGTCTTGATTTGCTAATGCTTTTCAGGTACCATTTCCTACAGTAACTTTGGTTCTGCCTAGGAAAGGAAAAACTGCAAAGGCAATGCTCTTCCTAAAGGCAGTGCAGCATTTAACTGGATAGCTAAAATACAGTAATATAGTAAGAGTGATAGAATGATGGCTTTTTATGTTGAGATAGTCTGCTGTCATTTAAACATGTTTATTCATATTTCAGATTCTGGGAATGTAGTGCAATATTTATCAGAAAGTAAATCCCAAATTAATTTCTGGTTTTAACCAGTTCTTCTCTGATAAGTAAATATTCTAAAATATAAGGTCATGATTTGCCTGGGTGGCTTTTTTTGTTTCTATAAGGGGTGACAGATTTATTTTAATTTCCTGCAAAAAGATGAAAGTTGCAGCTGCAGCGTGCTCCTGTTAAAGTAGCATGTGTGGGCAGAGGGTTTGTAAAGGCCACGTGAGACACTCATCACGGCTCCGGTCCTGTACAGCTTCTTGCATCGAAGCAGTCTTAAAGAAGATGAAATTTTCCTTCTCTGTCCGTTTGAGTTTTGTGTGTGCTACCAAGCTGTGCTTATTGTGTATACTTTCTTTCCTGATATTTGGAGATAAGTGAACTTTGAAAAAGAGTAGTCATTGCTAGAGGTTACGATTAGAAGAGGGTCTTCTCTGTATATTTGTCTTCACTGGTTGTTACACTGCTCTTCAAAGTTGTCCATACTTCTGCCTGTTCCTCCCTGTCCTACTGTATTAGTAATTCAGGGAATGCACTTTACATTTGTCTCTAGTGTATTTCTTATACTAATACTAAAATGTTTTGTGCATGTTGAGACTTTTTTTTTTAATATTACATGTGAAATAATTTTTAAGGAGCGTGATATGGACCGAAAAAAGATTGAGGAACTCATGGAGGAAAATATGACTCTCGAAATGGCTCAGAAACAAAGTATGGATGAATCATTGCACCTTGGCTGGGAACTTGAGCAGATAAATAGGACTACTGAACTTTCTGAAGGTAAATATAGTGATACTTGCAAACTGATAAAATAGAAAGATTGAAAGCTCAGAGGCTGCACAGCATTAGGAAGTTACAGGTCCTTATTCCTAAAGTAGTCTTTTGTTCTCTGGAGAGATGTGACAGTTTGGGGATCTATTTGTTTGGAGTTTTTTTAATTCTTGTTCAGTTAAACATAGTTTTAAAACCCATAAATATCTTGGAGTTACATTATCTTACATTGAAGCTTCTATACTAGGTAGCACAGATCACAAGTCTTCTTGCTTTACTGTTCTCAAATCTAAGAAAGGTTTGCTAAGGCTTCTCAGAGTAGTTGTTTAGAGAGATAGCTGTGGCAAAAACTTTGATTCTTCCAATATAGCATGCTCAGTCATACGCTGGATCCCATACAAAGGGTTTGTGGAGATCTAGAGATACATTGTCAGTTGAAGGAACCAGGTCTCTGCTGTGATTAGAAGCTGTAAGATGGGTAGAACGTTTCCTTTTTATGCGTCTGCAGTGCTACCTAAGGAGAATGAGACATTAATCCTAATTATCTCTATTCACCAAGAAGGCATTGGAGGGACTGTCAAAGGCTTCTGAATCTCCCAAGTCGAAAAATACCAAGTCCAAGAACTCCAGGTAATTAATGGTATTTTTAATGATAATTATTTTTCTCTTATAGTGCCACAGAAGTCACTTGGTCATGAAGTAAATGAACTGACATCAAGCAGATTGCTGAAGCTGGAAATGGAAAACCAAAGTTTGCTGAAGACATTGGAAGAACTACAAAGTGCAGTGGGCTCTGTGGAAGGCAGCAGTTCAAGGGTTCTGAAAATGGAAAAAGAAATCCAAAGACTTAGCAAAAAGGTAACTGTCAGTGTATGTTTGAATTATGTATGAGTTGCCTAATGTTGCTTCCTGTGAATTGCTATTTTTTGGGGCCAAGTATTACTAAGGTCTAAGTGGTGTTACCATGTTTGTAAAAGAGTAAACCATCTCGGAGAGCTGCTTCTGTTTTTCACTTATGCTTTTTATCGACATAAGAATGTGACCATTTTATTCAGAACGGTCTTATACCACTGACGCAAAACACATTGATGTATGGAAACGTAATGGGTGTTGAACGTGTTTTATGGTACTGGAGAATATCATTCAAATTTTCGTAATTATTAAGCAGGGGAAAGTAGGTGTACATAGATGAAAACTGATCAGTCTAAGCAGATTGTGTGTCATCATTCATAACTGAGAGAAGATGGGCCAAGGAATTGATGAGCAGGTGAATAAGAGGAGTTTGTCTGATATGTCAGTGCTGTTGTACAATATTTTACTCTCCAAATTTTTTGTATTAGAGTAATTTCATCAGTGATATTTATAGAGAATAAAAACTAGGGAAAAAAACAGGGAACAGGGACTAATTACAGTGGAGTGAAATGTCTAAAGTTTCTGAAATAGCTTTTGCCTCAGATACATTTCAGATGTTAGACTATTCTTAGAGGAGACTAGGTACGAGATAATTTAAAATAAGATTGAAATCCCTGCTGTATTCCATACTTCCCTGCTTTTTTGATACCTTAACAATATGGTATTTTTTTGCAGCAGCCTGTGTGCTGCTGTGGGTTTCTGTGCAGTACTGAAAAGACATTTAAGGGTACTAAAGAAAGGAAGAGTTACACAGAAACAAGCAATATTGTCTCGTAGTGTTCTGACCACTTTGGATGTCTAGGAAGTGTTGTTTTTCTCACTTGTTCCTGAAAAGAATGTTCTGAACAGCAATCACTTGAGCAAAAAGCATGAAGTTGGCCTGACTGTTGTGAATTCCGTATACATAGTCTAGTTGTTTTAAAACAACCCACTGACACAGAGTCTTAGAACCACGTGGTAACAGTGACTGCAGGAACTCTGCTCTTTGGCCCAGCTGGGCAGGCCATGAGTAACTCTGCTTCCCAGGCAGAGGCCCATTGCATCCCTGCTGAGATGACTGAGCCAGTTACTTCTCCTTTGCAAAAACTAACAGAAGTGCCAATGTTACTGTGAAACATGCACTGGTCTGCTAAGCAATGGTCCAGGAAAATCTGAATTTGAGAGGAAGAGGTATAGAGAAGCACGAGACTGGTCAAATGTTAGGATTGTCATCCTGAGAGAAGGATTTGGTTCAGGTTCTGGCCAAATTGACACCATGATTTTTGTGTGTTTTGGATCAACAAATTGCTTCATGGAGAAACAAATTACATTCTACTACCTTTTCCTGGCTTTATTTCTCAGTATTATTTCAAAACAATTCAGATAATATGTTTCTAAAAGTAATTCCCCCTGCCTAGGGTCCAGGTTGTGTATGGGCTCCTCTAGCATTAGGTAATGTGGAGGATGGACTTGGCTCTATGTAAACGTGAAAGTTTATACAGAATATAAACTTCCTAGCAGGTGATTGTTTAAAAATACAACATGTATGTTGCTTCTAAGTAACTAATTATAACTCACAGTGACAGAAAAATCACACTTGGTTATTTTCACTTGTAAGCATTTTTGCTGTCTGGTGACATCGTGAGTGGGAACCATTTGACAAAACAAACCTACATATTTAGTTCCCAAGGAATTGTTATAAGTGTCTGTTGAAATAGTTAAGTAGGATCAAACAGTATTCAAGCCTTATAAGTTACAAGGGACTTGGAGGAGCAGTATAAGTCTCACTAAAATGGAATTTTAAAAGAAAAAAAGATGCTTGGGGAAATAGCCAGGGCCTAATAAAATCTGACCATTTTTAAATGTAGAAGTACTTGATTGACAGAGTATTAGGAGATGATGGGGAAATTCTGACAGAACTGAACTTATTCCTAGAAGAGATTGTGTCAGGTAAAGAAAGACAATCTCATTGTATTGTTTTCTTTCACCTTCTTTATTCATTCCTGTAAGGATACCTTCAACCCAGTTAAGAGTAATACTGTGGTCGTTTTAAGTACATTTTAAAAAAACTTGCTTCTTTTTCCTTAGCTTGAAGAGCTAGAGAATGAAATTAGCCAAGAAAAACAAAGTCTTCAGAACAGTCAAAATTTGAGTAAAGATTTGATGAAAGAAAAAACACAGCTTGAAAAGACACTTGAAGAACTTCGAGAAAATTCAGAGCGACAAGTGAGTAGCAGAATCAAAAGTCTTAATGCTGCTCTGGACTGTGTTGTTCTCCTTGTATAACTTTTTGTAGGCACAAAGAAATTGTAAATGCAGCAGATTTGCCAGAAGGACATATCTGCAGCAAAACAGCTTGCCTGAGACCTGCAGCCAGTGAGAGACATGACTCATTTTTAGCTGAGGCTCGACTGTTAGTTTTAGAACTTTTTAGTGTTTTGTAATGCTTCTGTGGGTTTCATGGGCTGTGCGGCTGCTTTAGTTGCTTAGAGGGTGTAGCTCAGCCAAAATAGCAAAAGGGCACATTTGGAGGTAAGCCAAGCACCTCTCAGTGGAGGAAAACAGGTTCCAGACAGCTGGACAGTGTTTGAAGTCCTGTGTTAATGAGAATTACAGCAGCCTGTCCCTTGAAGGCACCTGGCAGAGCCCAGGGTAGCAGAGCTGCTCCACTGCTCGCTCTGTTCCTCTTGTGTCTTGTCCACCTCTCCTTAATCTGGGGTAGGAACCGCCATAGCCAGCTTCCTTGTATTCCCCTATACTGGAATGTTTTCTGGCTGTGATTTGTAGGTGGATAGCAGAATTTATTTTCGGTTGCCAGAAGCTGGCATCTGGGTCTTTATTAAAGATTTGAGCTGTGGAAGGCAGCCACTAGGAAACAAGAGTTATGGAAACTTCTGGAAATCCCATCTTCAGTAATCAAGTCCTTCAGAATTGGAGCTGTGGTTATCTTTCGTAAATTCTTCTGACAGTTCTTGATGAGATTGACTTTTTTTAGTTTAATTTGAAGTACAGTATTTTGGAATAGAGGATATTGTATTTCAGAAATCCTGGAGATTTAGGTAAAGGCCCAATTTGACCAGTAAATGAAATTCCAGGCTTAGGGGGGGGAAAAAAAGGCAAAAAAAACCCCAAAACAAATGCAAGATTTGGCATCGAAGCTTTACTTTCATTTAAAGAACAGTGAGCATAATTTTGAAAAAAAATTGCCGGCTTTTCTGGTTTAGAAGTGTTCCTACTTACAGTAATTGATGTATACATTGTATGAGAAGTGTGCTCTATGGAAAAAAGGAGTAAAACTTTCTGGAATAAGTCATAAGTCCCAATTCGGCCATTAAGGATGCTTGTGTTTTACACATCTTGGGGTAGAGCTGACATTTATGTGGGACTATTTCTGCTTAAAAATAATATACCCAGGAGCTGCGATGGGTTTGCAGCATATTTCATGGCTTTTACAAATCCTCTGCTGAAACTGTAGAAGGTTCATAGAATGTCATCCAAAATTAGGGGTGCATTTGTCTTGACTTTTGTCAAATTTGGATTTTAGAAACTGAGTTCTTGGAAAGGAATTACGCATGTTCAGTAACATACCAGGTTATGTAAAGAAGTATTACAAAGTTGTGGGTTTAGTTTCTCATTAATCGTTTCAGAACAGTTTGTCGTTGCTGGAAACAGAGCCGTACATCCTGTAATTAATAGTTACAATTCAGACTTCTGTATGAAAGAACAGTCTGTAATTTGCTCGGTCTGTTTTTCATTGCAACTAGCACTTTTGCTTTTCTCCAGCAGTTTATTGTTGAAACATCCCTTATGCTATGTTATTAGTGTATTCTTCAATATTGATCTAAACAGTTTTCTGGATTTTGCTGTCTGTTCTTACATACCCAAATGCTTTCAAATTCTGTGGAGTAACTGAAAAAGTCAAGAAATACTAAGATGTAAATGCTGCCTTTATCCTTGTAGTAGATCTAGGAATATGTTATCTAAGAAAATCATTAAGTTCTGATACAATATACTCTCTCTGGAAGCTGTTTTGGAGCAACATATCCAAGAGTTCTTTTTAAATCAAAAATTAACATAACTTTGTGTTTCTTCCCAAAATATTATTTACTGTGATCAGGGTACCCTTGTAACCACCTCTATTTTTCCAAGTAAAATACACTTCGTGGCTTCCACACCTCCCTCTACCTCAAGTTTGGTTTAAAACTTAGCTGCACTTTTGTTCTTTGGACACACAGATGTCTGAAAATTACAGAGTTTAAGAAAAATTATTAAATCTGAGTAGACTCAAATTAGTATGAAATGATGCTGAGAAATAGATACAACTTTGTTTTGTACTTCATTAGCTTTATTTTTGTCTACTAATATCCAAGAAGAAAACGTTTGGAGATTGACTTTGACTAGTCAAACTGCTACCTGTGTACATGTGCAGTTTTTGTAATGCTGCAAATAAATACCAGTAATAGATTATTTTTTAAAAAAATAAAATAAAAGGGAAATATGTCAACTTACTAGCTTAGTAGCTTTCAGTTTATATATGGTGATAATTAGTTGTTCACGTGGTGTTTACCAGAGTTTACAATTTTTCTACCCAAAATAGATTAAGCTGTTAGAACAAGAAAACGAACACCTCAGTCAAACCATAGCTTCTCTAAGACAACGCTCACAAATCAGTGCTGAAGCAAGAATGAAAGAAATTGAAAAAGAAAATAAGATTCTTCATGAGTCTATTAAAGAGACCAGCAGTAAGTTAAATAAAATTGAATTTGAAAAAAAACAAGTCAAGAAAGAACTGGAACACTACAAAGAGAAAGGAGAGAGAGCAGAAGAACTTGAGAATGAGCTGCATCACCTGGAGAAGGAAAACGAATTATTACAGAAAAAAATTACTAACTTAAAAATCACTTGTGAGAAGATAGAGGCCTTAGAACAAGAAAACTCAGACCTGGAAATGGAAAACAGAAAACTGAAAAAAACTTTGGATAGCCTGAAAAATCTCACTTTTCAATTAGAATCCTTAGAAAAAGAGAATTCACAACTTGATGAAGAAAATTTAGAATTAAGAAGAACAATTGAATCCTTGAAGTGTACAAGCATTAAAGTGGCACAGTTACAATTAGAAAATAAGGAACTGGAGAGTGAAAAGGAGCAACTTAAAAAAAGCCTTGAACTCATGAAAGCCTCCTTTAAGAAAACTGAGCGTTTGGAAGTCAGCTACCAAGGCCTAGACACAGAAAACCAAAGGCTACAGAAGGCCCTCGAAAACAGCAATAAGAAGATTCAGCAGTTAGAAAGTGAACTGCAAGATTTAGAGTCTGAAAATCAGACTCTGCAAAAGAACTTGGAAGAGTTAAAAATCTCTAGTAAGCGCCTGGAGCAATTGGAAAAGGAGAATAAATTGTTAGAACAAGAGACTTCTCAACTGGAGAAAGATAAGAAGCAGCTAGAAAAAGAAAATAAAAGGCTTCGACAACAAGCAGAAATTAAAGATAGTACTTTAGAAGAGAACAATGTAAAAATTAGTAATCTGGAAAAAGAAAATAAATCCCTATTTAAAGAAATAGTTGTACATAAAGAGTCATGTGTACGTCTGAAAGAACTAGAAAAAGAAAACAAAGAACTCGTGAAAAGAGCTACCATTGATAAGAAAACGCTTGTCACTTTACGAGAGGTAAAAAGTTACCACTCCTGTCATAACCTGTTTGTAATGTAGAGAAATTATATCTGTGTTTTTGAAAAAAGCTGGTTTTTAATGGTTTAATCCCTATACTAGTAGCATCTTTAACGGTTACAGTAGCGAAAGCATCAGATAATCAAAATCAATATAATCGTAATAATCAAACAGAATAATATAACCATATTACACTTGATTCTGTAAGGTTGCTTACAAACTGTCATAGAGCCTTTGTTAAATGAACGTAGTTTGGATTCTTCGTGTTAGTATTTGTTCTGGCTGAAACATTTGCCCGTCGCCATAATGTTCAAGACCAAATTTGAAAGGGAATTTCTACAGAAAGGGAGCAAACAACTGAGGAAAATCATATTAGAGTTAAAAATGTGATACCTCATACAGCTGAAAGCTGAAAATTGGAAGGAAAGCAGAGTTATCCTTAGTTATTCTAAATCATGTAGTGATGAAAGACCCTCGCTCCTGCACTTCTAGAATTAAGACTACATTATCTATATGATAATATTAATGTTTTCTGTCTAAGGACCTGGTGAATGAAAAATTGAAGACCCAACAAATGAACAATGATCTAGAAAAACTTGCTCATGAACTTGAAAAGATAGGCTTGAACAAGGAGCGTCTCTTGCATGATGAACAGAGCAGTGATGACAGGTAAGAATGTCAGGGCCTACCTTGAACAAAGTAGCAAGGAGGGGCCTCTTTATTCCTAAAGGTGAAAAGGTTTTACAGGCTGGATTAGTGCGTACACTTAGATTTTAAGACACATTAACAAACCCAAAATGGAACTTGCTGTTCTTTGCAGTGAAGAAGGTGGTCGATGTGCTTTTAGATTCAGCTGGCTGTGAGAGCGAGTTACCAATTTTTGTTACTAGAAAATCTCTTGAAGTATGTCAGCAGATACAGACACTGTATTATTAAAATATTTTATGTTCTAGTTAGCAGCAGGAGCAGTAGCAGTAGAGGATAATAGGCCCCAGGGATAGGGGATTTTTCCTTTTTGATGGCTTCACTGATAGAAATGTTTTCTATGTTTTTGTTACATTGTGGTTACCTTGAAGTGCCTCACTCTTTTCTTGCAACCATTTCCTCCTAATTCTTCCTATCAAAGGAAGCTGTTTGCATTCCCACTGGCACAGGCAGGGAAATACGCAGTACTTGAGCATCTCCAAAACTTTGTACTGGCTCTGTCCCTGTGCCACACCTGCCGTTATAAAGCAGCTGCCGTCCTGACATCTGTTTCCTCTGCTGTACGTTGTGTTCTGTCTCATCCTGCAGGGATTTAGGGAAAAGTTGTGACAGGAGAAAAGCAGACTACTATGGGCTTCTAGCCAATCTTTATTTCACAATGCTACTCAGTTGTGCTCTTAAAAAAACTAAACAAACCTGCTGTCATGATCTGTTATTACAACTGATTGTCGTGAACACGCAGATTGCTTCTGGGCTTTCTATATCGAAAGAAAACCAAAGAGCAGTTTATTTTCACTTTCCCTTTTTTGCTGCTAGTGCTCTGGTGCTGGGATGGTGCCAGAGTCATAGAATTGTAGAATCGTAGAACGCATTGGGCCTTTAAAGGTCACCTGTAGTTTTGTGCTCGTGTCTTTCATCTACCTTTCTCAGCTCACAGACAAGGAGTTCTTCTATCAGGAAAAGCAATCCTAACTTTGACTGGTATGATTTCTTCCAGTGTGAGCGTCACTGCGTAGCATACAGTGCTTCGTAAGGCTTAGGCGTAGGTTTAAGCATTGCGTGCCAGTTGTCCTGCACTCAGCACACATCTACTGCTGGCCTTAGACCTCGTGTAATTTGGTGCTGCTCAGCTGCACTATTTTAAGAACAGCTCCTGCTTTAATTCTCTGCAGGTTCGCTTGCCGGGGGGGCAGTGCCCACCTACAAAGGTGTTTGTGGCAAACTTCATGATCCGGTGCTGAGCGTGTGAAAGCACTGCAGAAGCAGATGGAATATTTGATGGCTCAGGATATTTGGATATCGGGCCTATGTATAATGTGCCTGTTGGTGTTGATGGGTGAGGAGGTGTGCAGTATGCTTTATAGCTTGAAGCTGACCCAGAACATTATGTAAAGCCTACCTCTGAGTTCAGGCTTTGTGGCCAGATAGTTCTTAGATAGGAAGGAATTCGAGCTATGCTACTGGTTTGAGCTTCTTCTCAAATCAGAGTAGAGCTTCAGAGGCTTTCTCCTGGGGCCTAAGCTGGCCACGTTTAATGAGGTAGCTTTTAAGTGTTTTCCATTCTCTCTTCCCTCTTGAATGGGCATTGTCTTTAGACAAATGTTTATGGATTTTTGACCCCAGATCTGAAATACCAAAATCTGAATGATATTAGAAAATTTGTACCCTCTTTCATTATTAGGTGTTCAAAAGGAAACTGGAACTGAGTCTCTAGTGTTAGTCGTCTTCTTTTTTGTTTTCTGTGTAATTGTATAACTTTTTCGTAACAGGAATTCTTATTTGGAGCTGTGTATGCTCCAGCTCAAGAAGCTGAAAGGTTATCTGTAGCAGGCTGTCTACTGTTACTTAAGTCTCTGAGAATTACTTGTCATACCTTAAAATCTAGGATTTTCATCCTACTACGTGATGCTACTGGACAGCTTTCTACTTATTAATTCTCTTTCCATTGGTCTTCTGCTCCAGTTCCTGGCTGGATCTAATGCTCTTGTCCATTCAGGAGTCTCTTGCAATCTTTTCCGTTCACTAAACCGATAGATCCTTCAGCACTCAAGATTAAGGAGGAGGATACTAGTGTTTTGTTTTATTTTATCCTACTGTGGGGACACATGGGATGTTTTCTAGATTCTGAGCACATGGTGCAGCGAGTGAACTGCTTCAAAGTGTTTAACGAGTGTTGCTTTCAGTATTTTTTGAAAATGGAGGTACTGTTCTAAACTGATATAGTCTAAATTTGACCGCTTCTCTCCCAGATATGTGGTTTGAGTTTTAATGAGCCCTGCAATATTGTAAATATGGGGAAAAAAATGGGAGCTTGACACATCAAGTGCTAACAGTCTTAAAATATCAGCAGCTGCACTGAGTGAGCAATTTGCGCATTCATACATACATCAAATGAGTATGCACCTGCAAAGTCCTGTGTTCCCTCTCCTTCCCCAGTGCCTCCTCTTTGTAAGCTGGCAGGAAATGGAAGTTGATGAAAATCTTGCTCTTGAAATACTTCACATTCTAATTTAGTTCAGGTCCCTGCTGGATTCACTGGAGTGGAGCCAGAAGGACAAGTGCTGTCAGCACACGCACACTAACAATCCAGATAAAGCTGGCACCCTCCTGGTGTGGCTGAACCTGGCTTTTTGTGTATCTAAGATGTTTTAAAAGAACAAAGTATTTTACAATGGTTTTGGCTACTGTCTTCTGTTTTACACATAGAAATTTATATTTGTGTTGAGGTGTCTTCATGCTCTTGAATAGAGTCAACTTTTAGGCCTTTTTGAATGTAGCTATGAGACTACTGTTTCAAAACATTTTAGGATTTAAATACCTCAAATAAGTTTTTGAAATACAGACTTTTTAAACGTGTGATGTTATTGACCAGTAGGTACAAGCTTTTGGAGTCAAAATTAGAATCCACTCTTAAGAAGTCTCTCGAAATCAAAGAAGAAAAAATTGCTGCTTTGGAGGCTCGTTTAGAAGAATCAACAAATTTAAACAAGCAACTTCGTCAGGAACTTAAAACAGTAAGGGGAATGACATTTTTTTTCTTTAAAGTTGAATTACTCCTCTATCAGCCCTTGCTATTTCTTCATTTGACCTTTTGTGTAAGATAGCAAAAGATGGGTGTTGTTGAGTAATGCAGGACAAAGGTGTGACTGGTTTTAAGACTGCAATAATACAGGCCCAGTGTTGAAAATGCATGAAAAAGTTGTTGAGTTTATTCATTGTTCATTGAATATGTCAAGTGGATAAAAAAGCGGAAGTTGATTTGATTTGGGATGCCAGAAGTAGTTATTTTCAGTTACGTTTTCTGATCTACTTTGAACAGCTGGAATGAACTAGTTAAAAAAAAAAAAATATATACTCTCCTTGGTTGTAGGACATTATCATAAAAGTTGGGGGATGCAGTTGAAAGCACTGAAATAAAATAGAAAAATAGAGGTTTCTTTCTGTTAGACAGGTGTCTTTCCATATCCATAAATTAATTTGTACATATCTCCCTAAACATATACGAAAGATAAGCTTATAAATACAGTAACATAGTGCTTTCTGTTCTTCAAAAAGAAATGGTCTTGTAATAAATTAGGATGTAGAAAATGGAAAATTCTAAACCTAATGTAGGCTGTTCCAAATAATTTCAGGTGAAGAAGAACTATGAAGCTCTCAAGCAAAGACAAGAAGAAGAAAGGATGGTTCAGAATTCTCCTCCAAGAAGTGGAGAAGACAGTCAATCAGTCAATAAGTGGGAGAAGGAAAATCAGGAAACTACTAGAGAATTATTGAAAGTTAAAGATAGATTAATTGAAGTGGAAAGAAATGTAAGATGGGTTTTTAATATTATTCTGTTTGTAATTATTTGTTGTGAGCTCTTCCAGTAATACAAATGAGAGCATTGTTAAGAAAGTCAGCAATTTATCATCTAGTTTATGTACCAAGCAGAATATGAATTAAATATAGTTTATGAAGCAGCTGGACTCTACTCACAGGGATGCAGTAAAGCGCTCAACCAGCATTTAAAAGGAAATTTGAATTTTCCCATTTGAGTCCACAGATGTCTCTTAAATCCCTCTTCTGTCATCGTTATTTACATGAGTCATGGAGATTTCTCAAATATTTCTCCATAGGTACAATATTAGTTAGTCATTTCTTGAATCTTAACTTGTAGAGATAATATAACTCTGTGTTACTTTGCACATAAGGTGATTTACAATTCTGTTCTACCCTGTCAGTCTCGGTGAAGTCACGCTGCTTTGTTTGTTTTGGAGAAAGAGGTTTGTTTCCTGAAGTTCAGTAAACAGCTGTCAACTCAAGTTTTCTCCTTTCTTCTTTTTTTTTTTTTTATTTATTCAAAGAATGCGACACTGCAGGCAGAGAAGCAAGCACTGAAGACACAATTAAAGCAGCTTGAGACCCAGAACAGCAATCTGCAGGCTCAGATTCTTGCACTTCAGAGACAGACTGTTTCTCTACAGGAACAAAATACAACTCTGCAAACTCAAAATGCCAAGCTGCAGGTAATATTTTCCTATTTTGCTTTCAAAAATAACATTAATTCAAAGTTCTTTCAAATGAAAACTTGAAAGCTAATGGCAGTTGTGTGTATTGTAAGTCACATTTTGCTTCTGGTACAAACATGGAAAAGAAAGGAATGTGCAAATAATCTGCACTGAGAGCAGTCAAATAATATCTTGTCTGTCGATCAGTAGTAACATTTCTAGGAGTTTGTTTTAATCCTTTATGTTTGTCCATTTTAAACTCTTGACTTTATGATTTGGAGTGGATTAGATTCTTTTTCCAGTCTTCTAACATATTTTATTTTAATTTCTTTTTGACTTCTAAATTAGGTCAGGGAAATAGTGTGTCCAAGGAGACTCTAATAATAAATTTAGTCTTTTATCTATTTTTTAAAAAAAGGTTAAAAAAAAAAAGGACATGCTCTAGAGCAAGGTCAAGATGTTAGTAAGTACAGAAGACTTGAGAAAAAATAAAAACAAACTCGAAACAAAACCAAACCTTTCAAAACTATGTGAATGGGTGGAGATTGAATTCAGGTAATGCAGAGGCAGAAAAAAATAATGTGTGACCATGAAAATATCTAAAAATGATTGCCTCCAATGTCTTGCAACTCTTACGGCCAAAATTCAGATATCATTCTTCATACTTTAGCAGAGTTATTGAATACATCTCTTCTGTTTTCCTCCGATAAATGAAATATTCTTGTTAATGGATCTAAACGCTTTTTGGAGCTCTAAGAATCAGAACTATTCAAGGAGGGAATGCGAAGACCACAGTACAGCAGAGATAGTAAACAGCCAGAAATGATGGAGAGTGGATGGAAATCAAAGAGTGAAGGAGTCTTTAAATGTGTAAACAAATAATGCATTTTGTGAACTCAAGTTATTATCACGTCTCTTTCAGAGAAGCTGAACATTTATGCCACAGATGCACCTTCTATCTCCACGTTGAAACCTAAGTAGTGCCCAGTACTGCCCTCGGGGGCTGGCAAGCCTGTGAACAAAGCAGGACGTTGCTGCACATGCTGTGTTTTATGTAGTTGTTAAAAATTAGTGGATGTGGGCATGGAAATACCCCATTTTAAGTAAATGAGGATATATCTCTGCCATTTAGAACTCTTTGAGTATTTTGTAATACACTTTGTGGAAAAAGCAGGAATATCTCTGTAGTTCCCTTTTTGCCTCATGGATTGCACAACAGGCCTTTCCTATCTGATAAACCTGGAGAATATATTAACTGTAGATGTTTGAAAGTATCGCAGCAGTGAATTGGGAGGAGGAAGTGTTTGCTGCCCTTCACTTTTTATTATTTGGGGGGTTTTGTGGTGAACCTCACCAAGCAATGTAATTTTTGTTGCTGGGGATGACTGAGTGGTGTTATACCCAACGGATGGAGAAAGGGAGTTGTTCTCTTTACTTGACAACTCAGCTCTTTGGCTCATAGCTTCAGGTGATTTGCAGAACAACTCTGTGTCAATTCCAAATCGAAAGGAAAGGCGAAATATGTTCGTGAAAATAAGAGCGATTAACTGCTAGCTAAATCTGAAGAGCAAACTAAGCTGGTGGCCACGGACTGTGTCAGAATTGTTCTTAGGCAACTGTAATTCTGCTGTTCCTTTTGATATCCATAAGGAACACACAAGAGAAACGACATCTTAAAGAATGACTGAGAATTCTGTACTAAATGAAGCTCGGAATTCAGTCAGGAAGTTTCACAGCGTACGCTTGCCATCAGACATTACTTCATTTCCAGTGAAAGGTTCAGCTTTCTCATCTGTAACAAAGAGTGCTGCAGTTCCAACAGGAAGGGATTTGTTCCTTAGTAACAGCGTGTACTGGAGTGATAGATTTTTATTTTTTTCCTTAATAGATACCCTGAGGGTATTAGAAGACTCAGTAATTTGTGGTTTTCATCTCTGGAAAGAGAAGGAAAATAGCCTAATACAGGTCAGACGACAAGGAGGCTGGTTAGCTCAGTCAGTTGGAGTGTGGTGCTGCTAACACCAAGGTCGCAGGTTCGGTTCCTGTTTGGTCCCTGTGTGTTGCCTCATCTAGTTGAGCGGTGTCCGTGCCCATGACAGGGAGGTTGGATTAAATGATCTCTAAGGTCCCTTCCAGCCTAGGCCATTCTGTGATTCTATGACAAACACATTAGACATCGTCAATTCTTTAAGATATCCAAGGATTAGATTAGGTTAATCATTGCAGAGGTACACAAAGTACACTGGTTGTTTTGGGTTTTTTTTAATCTTTCTGATGTTGAAGGCTTTAATGTATTAACAGACATTAATACTGTTCTGGCATAATTGCTGGGCAAATTTTACTCTCCTGCAAGAAGAGTATTTCCCACCAGACCTCACGTACATACATGTGATCAACACGTACATAAGGGGATCAACTGACATTACTGTTGTCGGAAGAGAGTCGTGCCTGGCAGCTCCTCAGTAGAACTGAACATGGATAGTTCCTTCCAGGTGCTATCATTTTATTCCCCTTCCTCTCTGGATGCTACTGTTTGAAGTCTCATTGTAAAGGATAACTGGGTGGAATAAGAATTTTATGATGAAAATAGAGATTCTGTACAATAAAGATGAAAAAAATCTATGCCAATACGAAAGTTCTTTTGATTTTAGTTATGTCACACATTTGGCTCATATATGAGGATCACTGGTGATCCTTTTCTCTGAGATATTTTGATGCTAAACGATCAATACTGAGAGGAAAATGTGCCTCTCATCTAGATTGCACAGATACTTGAAGGTAAATATCAACTTGATTCCTCCTCTCCCTCGTGTCTATTTAATCATATGCTATAATATAGATATTGCTATAAAAATATTCTTTGATCATTTTGAATTAGAATTGTTTATTGGAATGTAAGGAAAAAAGTATTCCCATTGAAGGTTGTCAGGTAATGGAACAATGAGAAAGTTTCTCAGATGCTAAAGAATTCAACTCCAGAAATCTTTCAACGGTAGTAGATATAAAAAGCTAATCCAGACTGTGAAATTAATTTGCAACATTTGTCAAATGTTTATCCCTGCAGGTTGAAAATTCCACCCTTAATTCTCAAAGCACATCTCTTATGAATCAGAATGCACAACTGTTGATCCAGCAGTCCACTTTAGAAAACGAAAACGAAGGTGTGCTCAAAGAGCGTGAGGATCTGAAGTCCTTGTATGATTCACTTCTCAAAGATCATGAAAAACTGGAACAGTTGCACGAACGGCAAGCTTCAGAGTATGAAACTCTCATTGCTAAACATGGAAGTCTTAAATCTGCACACAAAAATCTGGAGGTGGAGCATAAGGACTTAGAAGATAGGTAAATACTGCTTGAATAAAATCAGTCTGTGATTCCTGAGCAAAAAGGAAATAGTGTTGTATAATTAGTATGAACAAAATTAGTATAAATTAAATATGGCATTAAGATCTTAAAAATTTGAAGGATCACCTTTAAAAAAAAAAAAATCTGTATTGGCATTCCAGAAAAAGAAACTGAAATACGATTTTTGTTTGCAGGTACAATCAGTTGCTGAAGCAGAAAGTACAGCTGGAAGAATTGGAGAAAGTACTCAAGGTAGAACAGGAGAAAATGCTGCAGCAAAATGAAAAGCATGAAACTGTAGCGGCAGAGTATAAGAAACTTCGTGATGAAAATGAGAGGTAAAGCACAAGTCCAATACGTATATTAGTAGTACTAATACGTATATTACTGAGTACTGAATGGGATGGGGGGAAAACCACACCATTCCAAAAAGGAATTATTGTATCTCAAGGATATTGAATTCCTCTTAGCATCTTGAGGGATGCCAGGGCAAGTGCTCTGTAGTGTGGTTGTGAGCTGTTGAGGGAGCAGGATGCTGCGTAAGTTGTTTAAGGGGCAAGATAACGGAGAATTGCAGTGGGTGGCAAAGCTCCTTGACCACCAAAGTTTGGACGGTTCCTATTTACTTACTATTTTGTGTTGGCAGGAAATGTTAGCTGGTTTGCAAGTTTCTTGTATTTTGAACAGCAGCATCTTAAAACTAGTGGCACTGGCTGCCTTTAGAAATCCTGCTTTATTTTTCAATATAAGAGAATGCAAAATGTTTGGCTTAAAGGCAGAATGCATATGTGGGAAGATGATACTGAGATGACTTACCAACAGTAGGAAATTTTTGTGTGTACTCTGTGGAGTAATATAGAACCTTGGAAATTCCGTGTTTCAGAGGGAATGTGGGTAACGAATACGTTCCCTTCTATTTGCATGTGTTCTTTTATCGTGTCTTTTCATCCCAGGCTTACTCATACCTACAGTCAGCTCTTGAGAGAGAATGAAGTTCTCCAAACTGATCACAAGAATTTGAAAACATTGTTGAACAATTCCAAACTAGAGCAAACACGGTTAGAAGCTGAGTTTTCTAAACTCAAAGAACAATACCAACAACTGGATATTACATCGACAAAACTAAATAATCAGTGTGAGGTATGAGAGAGTTATGCTGGTTTTCATGACTGGTAGCGTTGTGGTGTTTATAGAAGTGTGTTTGTAGATTTGTAAAATCATATTAAGTGCTTGAGAATTAGTAATTTGGTTCGTAGATAATGAAGTGGGTTTGAGGACGTTAATTTTCCTGTTATATACAGGCAATGCCAAAATTTGGGCTCATGTTAGGTAAACTGTTTAAGTTTAAAGCATCAAAGAGGCTTTTATCAGCTGAGTCATGATTTAGTTAAGTTTTCTGTTTGATTTGACTGTCGGAATCCTTTGTAGACCTAAATTTCCTTGATAATCTCATTATCTGTGTGTAAAATATGCTCACATATCTCTGCATGTACCATTTCATATATTTTAACAGCTGCTTAGCCAGCTTAAAGGAAATCTGGAGGAGGAAAACAGACATCTACTAGATCAAATTCAGACATTAATGCTGCAGAATAGAACATTACTTGAGCAGAATATGGAAAGCAAGGATCTCTTCCATGTAGAGCAAAGGCAGTACATGTGAGTTTTTAAAACAATGAAATTACTGGGATTAGGACAGTTACACTAATATTACCTGTATTTTTTAAAAACTATTCTGTTTTATATAGAAATTAACAAGTATGATACTTCTGAAATGTTTCTCTTTCAAAAATAAAAATGTAAATTATATATGAAAAGCAAACTCAAACTGAATATTACATTTTAGACAGTTCTAAAGCATCAGTTCATTACTGATGATGCAAATGAGGAATAAAAATGTTATTTCATTCCTCATTCTACTACAAGCAAACCTGTAAACTCTCTAAGTGAATTTGAAAGAAGAGAAAATGTACTTGTGCAAATGATTCTGTCAGGGCCTATATGCACTTTATTACTATTAAAAAATGGAAAATCCTGTTGTGAATTAAAGGCAAATGGATTTTTCTTTTCAGTTTTATAGCATTAAACGTAAGACTGCTTGCTTGCGTATCTCTTTCTTGATTTTTTAATAAGAACCAAGTGGTAAAAGAAATGCTTGTGAAGTGACAACTTGCAGATAACAGATATCCAAAGGAACATGCTGCTCGCACATTAGAGGTGCATTTTTGAAGCACACATTATTAATTTCTGTTTACAGTGACAAGCTAAATGAATTAAGGCGACAGAAGGAGAAATTGGAAGAGAAGATAATGGATCAGTATAAGTTTTATGAACCATCTCCACCAAGAAGGTACGGATGAATATGATATAAAAATAAGGGCAAATCTAAACTGTGACATACCTATTCCGTTCTAGCTGAAATCAAGATCTCGTTAAGCTTTAGGGAAGGAGAATCATGTCTCTGTTCTTGTATACAAATTAGGAAAAGTCTGAAGGCGTAAGTAATATATTATAAATGCAATAAATGTGCTGTATTATTGATAACAGAAGAGGCAACTGGATTACTCTGAAAATGAGGAAGCTGATAAAATCTAAGAAGGATGTTAATCGAGAACGTTTGAAGTCTGTGACCCTTACGCCTACCCGTTCCGAATCCAGTGAAGGATTTCTTCAGCTGCCCCACCAGGACAGCCAGGATAGTTCCTCTGTGGGCTCAAACTCTCTTGAAGATGGCCAGACCTTGCTGACCAAGAAGAGCAGTAGTAAGTACTGCAAACCATATTTTTCTTTTAAGAAATCTTACCTAAATGTCTTTTGGAAGTGAATAAAAAATAAGAGATGTTGCATAAGGCTATGTGTTTTGGAAGATATTTTTAAAAATAATTTTTGAAGATAGGGTTTTTTTAGTCTTTAGGAACAAAGCATGAATTCATTTATTAATGACAGATTTATACTCACTTCTTGCAATTTCCTTGGGTGTTTGGGCAGAAAATAGTTTTTAGCATTTCTGTAGCTCTAAATGTAATTGCAAATGTTGCAATAGATTCAGAGTGCTTGGGTAAGATGAAGCAGCCACTGCTATAGAGTCAGGTGAGCAAAATTTTTCATAGAAAGTTGGATGCCACCACTAGCAGTACCCTTTTTTTGTTTCTCCCTCTTGTCCCAGCATGAATCCTTCCCTCTTGTCTTGGAAGTGCTTTCCAAGCTGTGGCTGTGCTGACATGCTGTAGTTGCTAAAAAGATCTGGTCTGAAGGTGTTCCTCCAGCATCTCACAAAGCCAACAGTGAAGAACTTTGATAACTTTTGAATGTACAATAGGAAGAGTTAATACAGAGACATCACCTGTTAAAAGGATGTGAATTGTTACTGACCCTAAATATTAGAATATACTGATCTTAAATATTAGAGAGTGAGACTGAGAAGGGTTCCAGAGGTGTGGAAAGATCAGATATTCCAGGCACAGTTTGCTAACCTTCAAAGAGCCTGGCAGCCATCCTGTTTTGATTCCCACAGTATAAAAGGACAGATTCTGCATACATTCTGCATACATTTATTATTTCAATTATTTGTTACCCACTCCTGACATGAATCACAAACTGCCCGATTTCTCACAACTTGAGAGAGAATATTGCGGCCAGGTTATCACGTGGTAATGGCTCTATTTAATAGTTACGCACCAAAAGCATTTTGGCTGTGCATGTAAAAGCATCAGAATACGTGTGTTAACATTCACTTAAAATCTTTGCAATGCGTTTCAAAAATTTAATGCCTTAGGTTTCAAAAGACAGCGGATCAATATTCTGGTTGTTGTACCAGCTATGAATTAGCTGTGTTAGAAAAGATTAAAGCCATTATGATGTATTTTTTTCTTCTGTGTTTATTGCAGAAGCTTAGTCAAATTTAAAAACATGTAAAAAACATTATTTCAGGTAAACTTAAATTTTTAAGTATTTTTTAATCACTGAAGAAAATAGTTTGAGGGTGCATTTTACCACTCTCACTGCTAACTTGTCAATTTGGGAGTCAGTATTTTTCAGTGCAAGGGTCTGTTAAGGTCCAAAACTTTTGAATTTAAAATAAAAAGCAACTGTTGCTTTTACATATTAACTGGATGTCTTGTGGAATTCAGGAGTGGCTGAAGCTGTAGCGGGTGTGTTTGCAAGTGTGTTAGTTTGGATCAAGAGTGTGCACGCATTGGTTCAGATCATCTGCATCTGTGTCAGTGATTCCATGCTCTGGAAGGGCTCTGCTATGTGACAGTTTTCTTTGCATGATACTTGGGACCTTGTAGTGTGCAGTTACCCTCCTGGTGGAGCCATGGCTGAAGTTATGGTGGCTGATCCTCAAAGGAGGTTTGAAGTTGTTCAGACCTCATTAATTTTCTACTCCATGGACCTTGTTCACGTTCCCCTTAATCCCAGTGTATTTATCCACAAACTGGAAGGGCTGATCTGATTCTGGATCCTCACCTTCCTCCATTGCACATGTCACCATGGAAACAACTTTATTTGATAGAATCCGGGTGGATGAAGTGCCAGTCTGATGCCGACAAGCTTGGTGAGACAGTTTGCATCTCACAAAGTTAAGAGAATATGTCAGTGTGCAGAATACTGGTGACAGTGCCCATTTTGCAGTCTATTTCTTCTGCTTTTAGAAGGACTGTAAATTCTAAATATCAAGATACTGTGGCTCCTTTCTTTTCTGTAAGAAGCAGCTTGGCATTGCAGCTTTCACTGAAAGAAGCTACAAGGAAGAAAACGCCTGTAAGTTGCCACCTGGTTGTGCAAATGCTCAGGTAATGCAGCTTTCTGCACTGGTCGGAGGCAGGTTTGGGTATGGGAAGAGGCAGCTTCACCCTCATCTCCTGCGCGTGGGGGTTCTAGAGGGAACTGCTGAGGTGAATTTGCTGCGGAGACCAGCTTCAGAGCAGG